TGGACAAGCACTAAAGTCAGTTCCTGATCAGCCGGGCTGTGGCTCGTACGTTGGTTTGCGTGCAGCCAGCAGCAACAGCCTGGTTGATCAGAGGCTGATCCACCAGGAGGCCTGGTCACAGACCGGGCCGCGGGGGCGTTGACCCCCGAAACTCTCTCCAGGTAAACTCCAGGTAAACACAAAAAATAGAAGATTTACTCTTATGCAGATTACTGCATTATTGTAAAAATGGTATAAATAATATCAGCGCATTTGTAAAAGCATATTAGACCCACCAGCTGACGTGTATTGGATGTATGATGTGATTTGTTTACTCTTGAACATCAGCAAAAATCGAACATTTCTGCTACTTAGAGCTCAGTTTCAAGCTATTTTCAGTACTAAAACCAATGAAAATCATCTCTATTTCTGTAATATATGTATTACCGGGCCGCGGGGGCGTTGACCCCCGAAACTCTCTCCAGGTAAACTCCAGGTAATATCTTCCATTCTATCAAATGGTACCAAGAAACTGTAAATGCAACCATAAAAGCCATATGAAAATACACTGCAGAGTCGGTGTTCTAATCCAAAAAAACAAGGCCACATTCTTTTTTTCTCATTCATTGCATGCTGTAGGATTTGTTTTATATGGTGCACACTTATCACATAGATGCATTCTCTGATATCTAGGTTCAAATTTACAGCTTACAGCTTATCTGAGTGATCTGAGCTCATGACGTAGATATACGGCTTGGACCCTCAAAGGGTTAACTTATTTTTATCTTGTGTGGAGAATTGGTTAGATAAGTACACTTCCCTGGATGACAATAAACCTATGACAAGAAGTACTTATCTTTTAACAACACGAATTCCAGCAGCCTCTCCCTGTATTCGCCTTCGGATTGCTGTTAGTCATACAATTTGCCCCAAAGGAGCATATATCCAGCATTTCACTATTATCTGAAATGCATAGTGGTACTCATTTGGTATGGGCATAAAGCCCGCAAATTACGACCTTGAATAGGACAACCCTAATCACTTTGTGTCTGCCCAGGGACTGCAGTTCAAGTGAGATTAAGCCTTACTTTGCTCATGTAATGTAAGTTTATGTTGTTGACAGTGCCGTTAAGGCCAATATCGGTGACTTGACTGAAGAGTGAGAAAGTGTCTCTGGGAATGTTGCACTAATGTTTGCCACAAACATCGGTAATGTTCGTTGCAATCACTCACAATACCAGTTGTACATTACACCATTCAATACCATTATTTGTTCATAGTTTTGTGGAATTATCCACAGCAGGGAGAACACAGACACACAATAAACACTATGTGGTTAGTTCTACTGCGAATTTCCTGGCTCGTATAAGGGAACGACGTACTCTGACGTTCCTAGTTTCCTGAGATTGTCAGAATGAACATGAGTCAACGCACTAGTCACTACTGTCCCTTTGTCTTTTAACGATAAGGCGGGAATGTCCTCGTGACACACACGTCTCGCTCATTCCTTGAAGCAATCTAAGGCCCGCTGCCCTCTTTGCCCTCCATTTCTACGTCTTCACAAAAGAATATGCTGAACTCGTGTTTATGTACATTCGTTGCTAGTCTGTGCAATCAGAATTAACACAAGAGGGTAGATTTCTTGTTATTTACCTGTACACTAGAAGTTATAATAGCCCCAACTTGTAGATTAAATGGAGTGCAGGTTTTCCCTTAATTTTCCTGCTGTGAAGAGAATAGTAATTACTCTTGTTTAACACTCATTGTGTAGTTGATCAGACATTCTAGCAAGGAGAGAGCTGTGCATGGAGATGCCTGGTACACATGTGGTTCTAATAAAGCTGTTTGTGAAGAAGGAAGAGTCCACTAGCCGGAAGGGCGAAGTCCCTCAGAGGACTGAGGGGGGCTGAGAGATACCCCCTTTACTGGAGAATTTTCTCCACATCTTGGATGAGAGGCTTAGAACACTATAAATAGTTTTATGTTAGAGATCGAGAGCACAACTTAGCGGAGTTTTCATCTGTCTCTCTCTTCCTTTTTCCTCATCTTTTTCTCTGTTGTTGATAGCGTTGTACAGTGGACCCCCGGTTAATGATTTTAATCCGTGCAAGAGGGGTAATTGTTATGCGAAATAATCGTTATGTGAATGAATTTTCCCCATAAGAAATAATGGAAATAAAATTAATCCGTGCAAGACACCCAAAAGTATGAAAAAAAAAATTTTACCACATGAAATATACATTTTCCCACACACAAAGAGAAGGATACATGCACAATAGTAGAGTAGTACATGCACAGTATATATTGTGCATGTACTAGTCTACTAAATGAAGAATAAATGACACTTACCTTTATTGAAGATGCAGCAATGACTGATGAGACACTGTGTCCTGGGAGTGCCTTTTCCTCCTGAGTACTGTAGGTCCTGTTTGGCATTTTCTTCCAGAACAGGCCTTATCACACTGTGTATGCCACTATGATTCTTAAATCTCTCAAACCAACCTTTGCTGGCTTTAAATTCACCAATATGAGCACTAGTTCCAGGCATTTTTCCCTGTTCACCTGGGTGTTAGTCGACTTGTGTGGGTTGCATCCTGGGAGATAAGATTAAGGACCCCAATGGAAATAAGTTAGACAGTCTTCGATGACACTGACTTTTTTGGGTTATCCTGGGTGGCAAATCCTCTGGGGTTAATTGTTTCTTGGTATTCTTAATAAGCCACACCAACAACGGTGCTAGAGCAGCAGCAGCAGCTGACAGTGCAGCAGCAGCAGCAGCAGCTGTACCACCAATAGTAGCGATGGTTGATTGGGGTTTATTATACAACCTGGCCAGCTCGGAGACATGCACTCCACTTTCATATTATCAATGATCTTTTTCTTCATCTCTATTGTAATTCTCACCCTTATTGCTGTAGGGTTGGCACTAGAAGCTTTCTTGGGGCCCATGGTCACTTATTTTCCAGAAAAAGCACCGAAAACACTGTAATAATACGAAATATTCCGATTGTATGCTTGGATGTTACCGCGGAGGCTGGCTGGTAAACAATGCCACCGGCGGAACATGTGAGCGCGTCTCGGAAGAAAATCGGTAAGCAGGGTTTTTAAGCGGTATGTGAGGCAAAATTTTTGCAATTAAAGTAAGCGGTATGCGAAATAATCGCTATGTGATGCCATCGTTATGCGGGGGTCCACTGTATAGTTGTTTTCACAGGTGATTATATACTTTCACTGATCTACGCAAGCCTTTCCAAATCTCAAGGAGTCCATCATTGTGTGTTTGACTACATTGTTTAAGTGTCCTTAAACCCTTTTCGCCCACTGTAGCACTGTCCTTCAGCCCAGTCTTTCCTTGGCATTTATTGGAGAGTTCGTCCATTATAATTCAGCCTGGAAATGAAAAATATTTGATTAGCTATCACTGACTTGAAATACCATAAAAAATTTCCTCCACGCCTTATTATTTTCGAGCCACCCAATAAATGGTATTATTTTGATTTGTCATGGAAATAATGGCTTAAAGTCTTCATGGTGTAAATAAATGAATTTTCTAGTCATTACACATTGTTTTGTGGTACTTGGGTGAAAAGTTGCAGATTTGTCAATGTTTCCTATACTGTAAATGACATGGCAGCCATCTTGTATTTCAAGGCTTTCCTCAACTTGGATTCCAAATGACTTTTATAATGTTGTTAAGAGTGCCATTGTAAGTGAATCCTGGAAAAAAAAACAGCTTGATAGGATTTTTTTCTGGGTCAAACCTAATGTTTTTCGACTACTATAACCGTCAGCATTATGCTTCTACATCCAGGCTTTTTTTTTTTCTTGAAGTGTATTATTCACTTTCTTCTGGTAACTTTTTACTTTATTGTTTTCAGTAGGCTTTGCTAGTTGCTAGTGAGAAAGGCCAGTATTTTGGGGTGCCTTGTCACCCTTATGTGTGAAGGTAAATGAGATTATGCCCAATTATTATATATTTTAAAAACTTTAGTTTTTTTTTTTCCTAACCTTAAAAATGTTGTTCCACAGTACATCAATAGACCAGACAGCAGTGATATGGGTTTGGCAAAGCGAGACCAACACTGTGGAATGTGTGAGTGAGTGTCGTGGTCACACTCAGAGTGTTGAGTGTGTTGCTGTCGACCACAGCAAGCAGTTTTTTGCAACTGGTTCATGGGACAATATGTTGAAGATCTGGTCTACAGGTGAGTTTCTTCTATGTCAAAAACAAGCTTGTTGTCACCCATAAATATTCATAATTTTTTGTTGTTGTTGAGTTCTGTTGTTAAGTTCTTAATCTATATTATATTGTCAGGTTTTAATATTGTTCAAACATTATATATATGGAGTGTCATGTATGCACAAGGTGACCAGATATCCCAATTTACATGGGACAGTCCCAGATATGAGCTGTATGTCCATCTTTTCTTCCAAAACTGTATGGGAGGTTTCATTGTTACTCTTTTACATTGTTACAAGTAAATTGCTCTGATATGCCATTATTTGACAAGCAAATGAAATGCAATGCTGAGTTGTTTGCTGTTGAAATTATATGTCTTGTACAGGTCCTCCATCACAAATCCGGCATCATTGGGACCTGTAGTGTGCCGGATTACTGAGTTTGCTGGATTACAGAGTGGTTAGGTTAGAATACACTTAATAAAATTAACCAACTTGACTTACACAAAGTTCATTGAACATCGGCAAAAATCGAACATTTCCGCTACTTTGAGCTCAATTTCAAGGTACTTTTCATCATGAAAGCAACCAAAATCATGTCTATTTCTGTAATATATCTTCCATTCTATCAAATGAGAGCAAACAAATGAGAATACAACCATAAAAACCATACAAAAATATACTGCAGTGGTGGCTAATGGCTGAGAAGTGAACTCCCTTATTTATTGTCCATCTTTTTTATTTTTGTTGTACATTAAGAAGCATCTTTCCATCATACATTGCCCAAGTTTCAATGAAATAGCCCAACAAACAACCGAGAAAAAAAAATATTTACCAAAAATCATATATGGCAAGCCCAAGTCAGGTACTGGAAATAAGTCACTTTGTTTGATTTTTCTGGGTTATCCTAGGTTCTCTATACATACACTGCTATGTATGATAATCTATGTAACTGTATTTGTGTATACCTGAATAAACTTATTTACTTCTAGTCTGTCAACTGAGTACAAGAAACTGCCCATTCACTTATTTCAGCTACCCAATAAAGTGGTCAGAAATTGGCAGTTTGGCCGATTTCACACAAATTTCAACAGATGTCAATTTCAAAATAGAGTCCAGAATAAACATTGTAGACATTCCTGGCACTAAAATTACATTTTCTCTGTTCATTAGTCACGGCTCCAGGCCCCTCTTACATTAATCTTGAAGATTTACTGTTATGCAGACTACTGCATTATTGTAATACACTGTAATTGTATAAATAATGTCAACCCATTCTTGACTGGCAGGCAGACAGGTATTGGACGGTGACGTCATTTGTTTACTCTTGAGCTTCGTTAAAGAATAGAACATTTTCGCTACTGTGAGCGCAATTTCAAGGTACTTTTCATCATGAAAGCAATCAAAATCATATCTATTTCTGTAATATATCTTTCATTCTATCAAATGAGACTGAAAAAATGAGAATATAACCATAAAAACATACAAAAATATACCGCTAAGCGGCCGCTAATGGCTGAGAAGTGAACTCCGCTATTTATGGTCCGATTTCTTTCATTTTTGGTCTATGTTAAGAAGTATCTTTCCATCATACATTGCCCAAGTTTGAATAAGATAACCCAACAAACAACTGAGAAAATAATAATAATATAATAATAATATTGCATTTATGGATTTAGAAAAGGCATATGATAGAGTGGATAGAGGAGCAATGTGGCAGATGTTGCAAGTATATGGAATAGGTGGTAAGTTACTAAATGCTGTAAAGTTTTTTTATGAGGATAGTGAGGCTCAGGTTAGGGTGTGTAGAAGAGAGGGAAAATACTTCCCGGTAAAAGTAGGTCTTAGACAGGGATGTGTAATGTCACCATGGTTGTTTAATATATTTATAGATGGGGTTGTAAAAGAAGTAAATGCTAGGGTGTTTGGGAAGGGGGGGGGTTTAAAATTTAAATGGGGAATCAAATCAAAAATGGGAATTGACACATTTACTTTTTGCTGATGATACTGTGTTTTATGGGAGATTCTAAAGAAAAATTGAAAAGGGTTAGTGGAAATGAGTTTGAGAATGTGTGTAAAGGTAGAAAGTTGAAAGTGAACATAGAAAAGAGTAAGGTGATGAGGGTATCAAATGAATTTAGATAAAGAAAAATTGGATATCAAATTGGGGAGAGATATGGAAGAAGTGAATGTTTCAGATACTTGGGAGTTGACTGTTGGCAATGGATTTATGAAGGATGAGGTTAATCATAGAATTGATGAGGGAGAAAAGGTGAGTTTGGGGCGTTGAGGTAAAATTGGAGTCAAAAAAAAAAGTTATCTATGGAGGCAAAAAAGGGAATGTATGAAAGTATAGTAGTACCAACACTCTTATAAGGATTGAAGCTTTGGGGGGTAAATGCAGCAGCGAGAGACGGTTGGAGGCAGTGAGATGTCCTGTCTAAAGGGCAATGTGTGGTGTAAAAAATTATGCAGAAAATTCAGAGTGTGGAAATTTGGGGAAAAGGGGTGGAGTTAAAAAAAAGCATTAGTCAGAAGCAGAAGAGGGGTTGTTGAGGTGGTTTGGTCATTAAGAGAGAATGGATCAAAGTAGAATGATACGGAAAGCAATAAACTATAGGGAAGGAAGGGGGTAGGGGTCGTCCCGAAAGGGGTTTTGGGAAAAATTTAAAAGGTGTTTTTGGGAACCTGTAGAGCGGTAGTTAAATGATATACTTCTTCGGAGGCTTCTTAGTTTATTGACAAGTAGTGGTGGGTTCACAGCTTGTGTTTTTTGTGCCCATGGCCCTGGCAGGGCCTTTCCACGAGAAAGCTGGGAGTACTTGTGCTTGATGCCAGGCCGCGTGGTGAGAGCGAGGCAAGTCGGGGCATACTGAAGGGGCAAAGGCCTAAGATGGCCACCACATAGCCGAAATATGAACTAAGCTGGCAACAGCATGGGCTGCCCTTTTTCAACATACGGGCTGCTACAACCCCCGGCCACCCCCCCGGGTCGCCCGACGCACAAACTGGTAGTAAAAAAAAAACTCGGTCCTCTCTCGTGGGAAAGGCACAGAACAAAAAAAAAAACATATATATAATATGGACATGGAAAAAAAAACTTCCACAGGGAGGGAAGAAAAAAACATTGGGGTGTGCTAAACATCGTTCAAAGGAGTGAGCGTCGAAGGTACACTCACGCCTTCCTGCCTGGCGTACTCAACAGGGAGACATCGCTGCAGCTGAGGCGTGACTAACAGGGTACGGCTCCCTGGTGAACAGCACGAGGAGCGCTGCAGGTTTTCACTCAACCTGGGACGACACGGTCCCCTCGAGGAGGCGCGAAAAAACCGGGCAACCCGGGCAGGACTTCTGAAAGCGGTCAGGAGGACACTTCTCGACTGGTACTTCCTGGGCTATCATGCCCGGAGCGTGGAGCGTTTTGGGAGCGAGTCTGGAAAGGACGACTGGGCAAACATCGGGGATCGTAACATCAACACCAGCTGCATGACACTAGCAGTCAAAGGACTCATTTTTGTGCAGCTGCTCCTGAAGCTTGTGACACGGGGCCTGACACAGCGCCTCCGACAGGTGGCTGGGGCTTGACGAGTATCACCCGACAGTTGTTTTTAAGCAGGGGGTAGTCTAAGGTCCCCAGATTGTTTCTCTACATATAACGCACTCTAAAGGGTCTGGGGGTGAAGTAAAACAAATCTCGAGGGAATCGTAGCAGGTACGATTCTACAGAACACACGAGCGGACATAAAACTTTCTGTACAAGAGGCTCTACACTCGGGGCTGAGTAATAACTGTCAAACACACGGGTCAGGGGTACTTAGGGTACAACTCGGGTCTGACCACAGACCTCACGGGACACACGGAAAATTTACAAACACACCGCTGTACTTACGGTACAAACAGGTTAAAACAGCAAATGATGCTTTCTGCGCAAAACACAAAGACATACAAAAATGTGAGAAATGACGAGAGGAAATTTTAATTTAACACACGACATATATCTTCCCTAAATCTTCTCGCAATACGAAATAATTACTAAACACTCGATTTGCATCATGTGATGTCAGCTGATGTCGCAAGGTGACGTCAGCACAGTGACGTCAGCAACTCGTGAGGTGACGTCAGGCAAAACATCGTGAGGTGACGTCGCAACATCGTGGGGGGGACGTCAGCAAACCGTGAGTGACGTCACAGCATCGGGGGTACGTCACGACATCGTGAGGTGACTCAGGCAGCCCGGCTCATAGCGGGCGCATCGTGGGGACGTCACAACATCTGGGGTACTCAGGCAGACATCGTGACGTCATGAACGAACAGCATCGTGGGGGTCGATGTGTGCGGGCAGCAGACCACAGCGGGGCCTTTGGGGACATCTGGTAACTCACGGGCTTTAGGTCTACTGACCCCCCCACACCCACGTGACTCAAACCCCTAGTTTCATGGCCTCGGCACCGGATACCAGCACGGCAAAGAATTCATACGAAAAAACAGAGAAAACACACAGAGGGAGGGGCAGTGGGGGTTGGTAGTGTGGTGGGGGAGAGCGTGCGGGTGTAGGCAGGGCAGCATCTAGCCATTCCTCCTCCTCCACCCACAAACACTGGAGAACTCAACTGGACGCAGAAATCACCACAAAACTCACCTCTGCTTGCTGAAACACTGTGCTGGCTGAAAACACAGCAACAACAATGACGCTGAAAACGTGACTTTAGAAAAAAGCGTGGGACCTATAGCGTGGATACTTGGGGCGCCACGAAATTCCCAAGAAATTGGCAAATTCGGCTGGATCCTGTAGTACCTGTGTCGGATGCCAAAAAGGCAGACACACATCAGGGTAATCGTTAGGACGGGTGCTTCTTGGTAGGGGGAGAAAGAAAATTACTTCATACCTTTTCCTCCTTCTCCCCAAACACAACTGCCGGGGCAAACCGCTGGGGTCCCTTAATTACATTTTTTGGTAGTCTGTGGGAGCGGGGGGTGAAGAAATCTTCTTTCGAGGGTTCTTAGTTTATTTTACAAGTATGGTGGGTTACACAGGCTTGTTGTTTTTGCCCATGGCCCGGGCGGGCCATGCCCCGAGAGAGAGCTGGGGGTACTTTTGGGCTTAGCCAGGCCCCTGTGGAGTGAAGCGAGGCAATCTGGGCATACTGAAGTGGGAAGGCCTATAGATGGGAGCAAGCATAGGCAAATATGAACTAAGCGGCAACAGCATGGCTGTCTGGCAGACATACAGGGTTGTGTGTTTGTGCCCATGGCCCGGGCAGGGCCATGCCACGAGAGAGAGCTGGGAGTACTTGTGTCTTGATGCCAGGCCGCTGTGTGAGTGAGAGCGAGGCAAGTCTGGGCATACTGAAGTGGCAAGGCCTATAGATGGCAGCACCAGCATAGCGCGAAATATGAACTAAGCTGGCAGACAGCATGGGCTGTCTGTGCAGACAGTGGTTTGGTCATTTAGAGAGAATGGATCAAAGTAGAATGATACGGAAAGCATATAAATCTATAGGGGAAGGAAGGAGGGGTAGGGGTCGTCCTCGAAAGGGTTGGAAAGAGGGGGTAAAGGAGGTTTTGTGGGCAAGGGGCTTGGACTTCCAGCAAGCGTGTTAGATAGGAGTGAATGGAGACGAATGATACTTGGGACCTGACGATCTGTTGGAGTGTGAGCAGGGTAATATTTAGTGAAGGGATTCAGGGAAACCGGTTATTTTTATATAGTCGGACTTGAGTCCTGGAAATGGGAAGTACAATGCCTGCACTTTAAAGGAGGGGTTTGGGATATTGGCAGTTTGGAGGGATATGTTGTGTATCTTTATACGTATATGCTTCTAAACTGTTGTATTCTGAGCACCTCTGCAAAAACAGTGATAATGTGTGAGTGTGGTGAAAGTGTTGAATATGATGAAAGTATTTTCTTTTTGGGGATTTTCTTTCTTTTTTGGGTCACCCTGCCTCGGTGGGAGACGGCCGACTTGTTGAAAAAAAAAATATCTTTATTTACTACACGTACATGTACAAGGATACAGGCCTAGCTGACATCAGTGACATACTACTGTATAGAAAGCCGCTTGTTTATGCTGAGTATTTCAAGAAAATTAGGTCAGTGTCCCAGGATAACACCCACACTAGTCGGCTAACACCCAGGTACCCATTTACTGATGGGTAAACATAGACAACAGGTGTAAAGAAACACGCCCAATGTTTCTACCCTGGCTGGGAATTGAATATTTACCAAAAATCATATATGGCTAACCCAAGCCAGGCACTAAAAATAAGCCACGTTGACTTTTTTGGGTTATCCTAGGTTCTCTACACCTATGCTGCTGTGTGTGATAATCTATATAGAGAAAATAACTTTTGTTTCATGTTTATGGTGCAGTGTATATCACAGTTAGCCCTGTGCTACACTCCGTTTTCTCTAATATAAGCCACCAAGACAGGGATAGGAGAATTCAATTCAATTCAAGTTTATTCTCTATAAGGGTTACAATGTGGGGTTTACAGGTTTTGGGTATTTTGTGGTTTACATGTTATAAAATACTAATTACAGAGGGGGCCACTAGGACACCTAGCATGGCTAGGCATTTCCAGCAGACTTAGATTAATTCTTAACATTAAACCCTTACAGATTATGGTATTAAGGGCTAAGTGACTACATCAAATTTTGAGTTTAGCAATGTGAATCTTTGTTTTGGCACAATACAAGGTGTCATATTGGAGTATCATAGGCAAACTTATGACTAGTTAGGATTTATTATTTTAAGATTAAGATTAGTTATTTCTGGGTTATAGTTAGTGGGGTGAGTGAGTGTAATTTTGAACCCCCAGGGTTATCATGTAGTTAGTTTGTCGGGGTGGATCAGGGAGATAAGATGTTTTCAAACTGTAGTTTTTAAAGTGATGAATGTGTCTGAAGTTCTAGAGTTTTTCAGGTAGGGTGTTCCAGATTTTGGGTCCTTTGAAATACTTTGAATTTTTGTAAAAGTTTAGTCGAACACGGGGAATGTCATAGAGATGTATGTGTCTGGTGTTATGCCTGTGGATCCTGTCACAACTATCAAGAAAGCATTTTAGGTCAAGGTTAATATTGGAATTTAAGGTCCTGTAGATATAGATTGCACAGTAGTAAGTGTGGATGTTCTGAACAGGGAGTAAGTTTAGATCTATGAAGAGTGGGGGGGGAGGGGGGTGTTGCCAGGGATGGGATTTAGTGATTATTCTTACTGCGGCTTTTTGTTGGGTTATTATTGGCTTTAGGTGTGTTGCTGCAGTTGAACCCCCAGCACAGGATGGTATTTGTATACCATATCCTCTTCATACCTCCGTCGAACTGCTCGGTGTTATGCCAAATATTATTTATTCTGGATATTTAACATGTTTTATGTTATTTATATTGTTTATTATGTCATATTAGATCAATTGTGAGAGGCAAATAAGCTGTAGTGTTGATATTAGCATAATAATAAAGCATATTCTCCTGCTTCATGAGACTGAGCTCATGGCAACCGACAGTGGCTTCAAAGCCACCTTATCTTTAATGGATAATGTACTGTGCCGGTGCTTTACATAATGAGAAGCATTTCTTTTATTCATTGGAACCATGGCTAGGGCTAAAAGTAAGCAGGTTAAAACAATAAATGGAGAAAAAGAAATTGGAATGACTTATGCAGCAAGTAGCGCCACCAAACAGTACCAGCAGGTTGGTGTGGCGACCCTGGAAATTTGAAATTATGCTAGCCAAAATTAGTGCCGAATAACTGAAGGAACTGAATAACTGATTGCCGGATTTGTGATGGTGGACCTGTATTATAATTTGTGCCATCACATGTAATATTGTTGAGAAAAAATTTCTTTGTGGCAGTGATCCATCCAGGATCATGGGAATTACATTCCTAGAGGTCTTGTCAAGCTACAAACTGTCAACAATACAAAATTAAGTTTGCATAACAGTGTGCTTCATATTTGGTTCCATTTCATGTTTGAGAGAGCATATCTTCTTCTTTCCTGTATGTTTTAGAAAGAATGCTCCTTAGTCTTTCAGAGTAAATGTTTCAATGCTCTATTCACAGCAAATTAATTTATAAAGATTTGTTTAAATTGTACATCCTGCTGGGCTCTTTATCCACATTTTGTCTGACTGAAAGAAAGATCAAGCCATTTTTGTCCTATCTTATTGAATGTCTTTGACCTGGAAGTGACTGCTGCTTATGGCACTCCTCAGGATTACATTAGTTCAAGGCTTTGCCTTTGTAAAGTATTTAGCATATCAGATGTTAATATCTATATAGCTTAGTCTAACCTTTGAATAGCAGGTTTTTAAATTATCTATCCCACAAAGATTTGGCCTCTCTCACTGTATCTATAAGTGCATATTTACTGGTATAAAAGTTTTAATTTGTATCTCTGTAATCACTATGTAGAACAGGTTCTAATTTCACATTTTTTGGCAGTTAACAAAGGTGTTGAGGAGGAAGAGGAAGAGGAGGATGAAGAACGTGATTTGAAGAAAAGACGAGCAGCAAAGAAGCCTCAGAAGAAGGTAAATATTAGTACAGTCACACCCTGTCCTACGTAATTGATTCCAAGAGCCATGACATAACCTGGTTTTTGACGTAAACCAGACATAATGCCTTAAAATGATGACAAATACCATAAGATTGTCAAGTGTCAAGTGTCACTCCATTACTGACAATGCAGCAATGGAGTGACACTTGACAATTGTGCACTGCCTTGGCTTTACAACCTCTCTCTGACCAGTATCCATACCTAAATAATGTAGTATATTAGAGCTGATTTCCTCTATTCTGTTTATTACCATATACAGTACACCACTGTATAAAAATTTAAAAATGTACCAGAAATGTTATAAATAGTGCAAAGATGACATTAAAACAATATCAGAGATGGTTGACACAAACCCACTACCATTATAGTATGCTCCTCACTTAGCGACGAATTCGTTTAACGACCTGGGCTTAGGAACGGAACTCCATTTTTAAGTGAGGAGAGGCTGTCTTTGTTTTCACTACTACACATAAACATGTCTGTCTGTTTATCTGTCTGTCTGTCTCTTGTTTATCTCTGTCTCTGCTTATCTCTGTCTCTGTTTAGCTCTGTCTCTGCTTAGCTCTGCTTATGTCTTTCTGTCTGCCTGTGTGTCTGTCTTCCTGTCTCTCTGCTTATTTCTCTTTTGTCTCAGAGAGAGAGCTGCTCATGAACCAATAGGTATTACACATGATGCAGAGTCATCGCATCTGAATCCTGAACAAGTGAAAATGAGTATTACTTGCCAGATATCTACAAGCATAGTATAGCACTTTGTCTGAATTTTTTTTGGAGTTGTTCTTCTTTCAACAAACCGGCCGCATCCCACCGAGGCAGGGTGGCCCAAAGAGAAAAATGAAAGTTTCTCTTTTTAACCCTTTGAGGGTTTTGGCCATACTAGTACGGCTTATGACCCAGGGTTTTTGACGTACTAGTACGCCTACAGTCTAGCGCCCTCCACAATCTAGAGAGAGAAGCTTTGTAGGCCTACATATGAAAAGAATGGTCTATGTGGTCAGTGTGCACAGTATAAAAAAAATCCTGCAGCACACACTGCATAATGAGAAAAAAAAACTTTGAAACCTTTTTTTTTGAATAATACAGCGACTTTTGGCACGGGTAGTTTCATATAGTATTTTATTGTGTATTCTGGTTTTCCTTGGTCTCATTTTTATAGAATGGAAGACATAATACAGAAATTGAGATGATTTTGACTGGTTTTAACAATGAAAAGTACCTTGTAAATTGAGCTCAAGTAGCAGAAATGTTTCGATTTTTACCGAAGTTCAAAAGTAAAACAAATCATGCCAAGCGTTCAATACACGTCAACTGGTGAGTCTAATATTCTTTTGCAAGTGCGCCAATATATTTATACCATTTTCTACACTAAATGCAGTAGTCTGCACAACCAGTAAATCTTCTGATTTTTCATGAAAATAAAAATTCAAAGTGGGAGCAAAAGAATGTCTCTAAGGGCCTTGAGACTGACTAATGTACTGAGGAAATGTCCATTTATAGTGGCCGAGGAGTCTATTTTATTCTGACCCTATTCGGAAATTGGGCACTTTTGAAATTTGTGTGAAATTGGCAAAATTGCTTAAATATTCCTGACCACTGTACTGGGATAGTTTGAAATTGGTAAAGGGGTTTCTTCTTTGCACTCATTTGATAAAAAAAATCGAGTTCTAGCGAATGATTCCTTGTTTTTTGTCGACTAGATACAGTGGAAGTGCCGAAAATGGGGGGCTCAAAGTGGCAAAAGGCAAAATCGCCGATGTGTAAACATCGCCCAAGGACCGCTAACTTCACGAGAGCATAATTCCGTAAGTTTTCCATCAATTATCATACTTTTTGATTCATTATGATGGAAAGATCTCTATCTTTTCATAAGTTTTTTTTTTTTTTTTTTAAATTTGCCCGACCCCTGAGAACAATCTCGGAGAGGGCCTTGTCTACCCTCAGATTTTAAAATTTAGTAAAAAAGTATACAGGTGAAGGAGTTACTGGATCCCTTGCTCATCAGGCGATTTAGTACCTTTATACGACACGCATGGCTTATGGAGGAAGAATCGCTGTACCACTTCCTCCATGGATTTTTTTTTTTTTTTTTTTCAACAAGTCGGCCGGCTCCGCACTGAGGCAGTGTGACCCAAAAAAGAAAGAAAATCCCCAAAAAGAAAATACTTTAAATCATCATTCAACACTTTCACCACACTCACACATTATCACTGTTTTTGCAGATGTGCTCAGAATAACAACAGTTGAAGCATACACATATAAAGATACACAACATATCCCTCCAAACTGCCAAAAATACCAAACCCCTCCTTTAAAGTGCAGGCATTGCACTTCTTATTTCCAGGACTCAAGTCCGACTATATGAAAATAACCGGTTTCCTGAATCCCTTCACTAAATTTTAAACCCTGCTCACACTCCAACAGATCGTCAGGTCCCAAGTACCATTCATCTCCATTCACTCCTATCTAACACGCTCACGCACGCTTGCTGGAAGTCCAAGCCCCTTGCCCACAAAAACCTCCTTTACCCCCTCTCTCCAACCCTTTCGAGTACGACCCCTACCCCTCCTTCCTTCCCCTATAGATTTATATGCTTTCCATGTCATTCTACTTTGATCCATTCTCTAAATGACCAAACCACCTCAACAACCCCTCTTCTGCCCTCTGACTAATACTTTTATTAACTCCACACCTTTTCCTTATTTCCACACTACGAATTTTCTGCATAATATTTACACCACACATTGCCCTTAACCCTTTCAGGGTCCGTCCCGTAAATCTACGGTTTCACGTTGTGTCCAAACCATAGATCTACGCCAAAATTCTAGCGCTGTCAAATTTAGCGCGAAAACGCTCGTAGGCCTACATGTGAGAGAACTGGTCTGCGTGGTGGGTGTGCGCCATAAACAAAAAATCTAGGCGCCCGCATAGCATTGTGGGAACGCCGGCTCAGTTACCCTTGTTCACCATGCCTTGTCGCAGGTCAGCTCTCACTCCCTGGAAAATTGGGACTCTCCTCTTCCTATCTGATAGTTCTGATACTGATGGAAGTGGAAATGAAGATGAATTCTATGGCTTTGATCAGTTAGTGACCGAAAAGAATGACCAGGACATCGATAATAGTGCAGAAAACCCTGACGATCCTCAACCTTCTACCTCTGGTGTGGGCACTCGTGACTCACGGTCGGTTGTTCCTCAACGCAGGAGAAAACTAATATTTTCGCATGGCCAGGCCTCTGACTTCAGTAATGATGATGATAGTGACGTGGATTGTGATTTTATTGTGCTCGACGATCATTCGAGTAGTGATAGTGAGGAATCATATTCACCAGTGAAGCGTCGGTATGTTCGCCGCCGCATGCACTCGGGTAGTGTACCCTATGCTGTGCCTGTACCCTATGCTGTGCCCAGGGGATGGAGTACATCCCGGAGTACATCCCGTAGCCCTACACCAGTTTTTGGTAGTGAAGTGAGGGTGTGTGGGAACTTGGCATGGGG